GGCCTCTGGTAGAGGACCCGAGCTCAGAGGATGAAGAGACCACCCATGGAGGGTGAGAGGGGAATTTTTATACACAGAGGGACACAGAGGGACGGTGTCTCACCACGGCGACGGTCTCCACTGTTGTCTTGCCGTTGTTGGCTGCAAACACGCCGGAGGCGATTAAGAATAAGCCGGCGATGAGGAGCGTGTACAGGAAGTCCTGCAGGACAGAAAAACTCATCACTTCAGTAGTAAGACAACAGGGACGGACAGAACCACAACCACAGCAGAACCACAGCAGAACCTTACCACTTTGGGCCAGCAGCTGATGCCCACCCTGCTGTACAGCGTGGTGGACAGGAGGAAGAGGAGCAGCGCCGTGAAGAGGAAGGCTGTGCAGCTCACAAACTCAAAGAAGTAAAGAGGAGAGCAGCTCAGGCAGGTGGACACCGTCTCCTCCAGGACGAAGGCCACCAGGGACAGCAGCTGGGGACACACCACAACAGGACCATCAGAACCAGAACTACAGTTATGTGATGTATCCAGCCCAGAAAGGGCGGCCATCTCGATCTGTAAACTACCAGCTATCCACGGTGATGCTAGTTGATGACATCATCAGCCGGCATTAAAACAGACAAGAAGAGGAAGTGTCATGGCGGAGAGCGACAGGGACAGAGCTCGTTCTAATCTGGACCCGGTTCTGGTTCAAACTGGGCTGTTAAGGCATTTTGGTCCAGAAACAGGTGAAGGCAACAATTTTACACAACGCAGGTGAATCTGGTGGAGCTGCTGGCAGCACTGCTGCTTCCTGGGCTCGGTTCTGTCTGCCCGTCTGTACGTTCTCCCTACGGGTTCTCCCTACGGGTTCTCCCTACGGGTTCTCCCTACGGGTTCTCCCTACGGGTTCTCCGGCTTCCTCCCAGTCCAAAAACATGTCAGGTTAACTGGTCTCTAAATTGTCCCTAGGTGTGAGTGTGTATGTGGTTGTTTGACCCCTTTGTCTCTGTGTTGCCCTGCGACAGACAGGTGACCCGTCCAGGTGACCCGTCCAGGTGACCCGTCCAGGTGATCCGTCTCTCACCTGAGAGGCATCAACACCTCATGACCCACCAGGGACAAGGGTGAAAGAAAATGGATGATGGATGAATCTGGTCACCTGTCGGACCTGAAGCTTCTCCTGGTTCTGCATTGTGGAGAGGCAGAGCACCAGGCTAGCATGTAGCTGCTAACAGAAACTATTGATTACCCTTCCTGAGTTCATACTGAGTTTCGTTTGAAACTGCATGTTGGAGCCAACGATCTGGCAAAGCAGAAATCAGAGATTCTGAAAAAGGACTTTAATATTCTTCTGGACACTTTGGGAAGATTAAAAATGAAGTTATTTCTCAGTTATTCCATCGCCTCAATGGGGAGACGAAAAACATTCCAGGCTGGGCATGATAAACAAATGGCTGATTAAAACCTGCTCTGCCAGCTCAGTGACCTTCATCGATGACCTCTGGATCTACTGGCAGCGCTTTCACCTCTAGGAAGAGGAGGACGCAGTCTGAACAAACATGGAATAAGGCTGCTCACTGCAAACATTTTTCATTTTATCAACAACAATGTGACCACACTGTCTATGTAAAGCGGGAAAACGTCCCAGTTCAACGAATCCATTTCTAGGGCTGTGAGAATCCTTGTTAAACGACGTTTAACTGAAGTCCTAAAAGGGGTTTTAATGCTTTTATCTTTTTTTATCTTTTTCAAAATCTCTTTCTCACCGTTTATTCACTGTCACATGCTTTTTATTTTAATTATGTGAAGCACTTTGAAATGCCTTGCTGCTGAAATGTGCTATACAAATAAAATGTGATTGATTGATTGAAACCAGTGAGATTAAACTGGTTTTAATGGAGAGCTGCTGACAAAAGGTGGCAGCAGAAACTAAAACATTGCAGACCGACGACATCCAGAGGCTTCCTCAAAACAAATCTATTGTATATATATCTATGTCCTCCACCTGAAGGGGGCGGAGCCTCTGCTCTGTGTTGGGTTAGAAGCTGCAGAACCGGTCTGGAGCAGAACCTTTGTCCTGCCTCGTCACATGACCAGCTGAGCTAGAGACGTGTCCTCACTGTCAGAACCAGGTCCAGTTTCAGACTCGCTGCTGTTTTTGTTGCATTAGTTTCCATTCCCTGCAGTGTTTATCGTTTGGTTGATTTTAGTTTTTCTGTTTGGTTTTTGTGTCTGCAGAGTTTCTAATGTAAAGAACCTCCAGAACCTCCAGAACCTCCAGAACCTGGCCTTCTTTCCCCCTGAAGCCTCTGGACCCAGGATGTGAGGAAAGAGGAAGGATTTTATTGTGAAAGGTTGCGGCAGAAAGTGCTGACTCTGCAGATTTGATCGGTTTATTCTGATCCCTTCCTGACTCAGTCAGAGGTCCAGTTCCGATCCGGGCCCAGTGTGAGGCACTGCAGAGCCGCTAGAACCGGGTCGGGTCACCAAACACAGAACCAGAGGAAGGTTCTGGATGGACCGGTCCTCCAGAACCGGTCAGATGGAGGTCCAGAGCTCTGATCATCCTGTTTCTGCAGCTGGTTCTGTTCGGCCCGGATGCCCCCCCCAGGCGCCGTTGCGACAGCCGGCGGTTCTGCTGACCGCAGCCAAACGGTCCTGCAGAACTTTCACTTCTCCATCTGCCGCTTCCTGCTGAACAGCAGAACCAGAACCAGAACCGGACCTGAACTTTAACAGCCAGAAATTTGACTTGTAATCTGAATTTACTTAAAAAACCCAAACTGCTTTCATCTGGTAACCACAGAGGAAAACCAGAACTTTGACCCAAATTCTGGTTTAATTTCCAAGAAGAAATGTGATATTTTTCTTCAGATGAGTTCAGAATAAAAAAACTGGATCAGAACCACCACTAGTTCTGGATCTAGGATCAGGATTCTATTTTTTATGATTTTAGGTTTTAAAAATGATTTTTGGCCCAAAGTCTGGACTGCTCTGCTTCAGTGTTTTTTCCTCTTGACTCCCGCAGCATGATGCTGCCACTGCCTGTTCGCAGCAGATGTATGGAAGGCAACACGTGGTTCTGTGCCGCTGATCCATCTTCCTCGCTGAGTGGCGTTTCAGGGCCAGAATGTTCTCTGTGCTTTATAGAAACAATCCTGAGCCGAACCAGAACCAATAAAACATGGCCGCCCGGGTCTTTGACTGGCTGTATGAAAACTTCTGGCCTCAGCGTCACTCTGAGCCGACAGATTCAGCAACTTGTTGCCAACTGGGAGAGGCGGCAACGTGTGAAACGAACCGCCGAACGGCAACTTCCTGTGACAACAACCAAGGATTCAGAAAAGAAGAAAAAGAAGAAGTGGCAGGAAGTGTGATTCAGGGGCGCCGACCACGGAAACCATGGCAACGGGTTCAGAGCATCATGGAGTGAACAACAGGAAACCAGTGAACCAGACGCAGACTGGGGACTGGTCCAGTACTGGGAACATGCACAGAACCTTTCACTGGAATCATCCAGACGGGATTATTTTAGATCCAGAATGAAACTAAAAGGTTTTAATTTAATCTGATTATGATTTTATTTCTGACAAAATTGGACCAATTGGTTCTGCAAAGTTTCTCCAGACGACAGTAAAGAACTGAAAGAAAACAGATTCACAAAGCACAACTGAACCGAGAACTGAATCATGAACTGTAGGGCTGTATCGATTCTATGATATTTACCGATTTTTCATCCGCGAGTATCGATACGTTAGAACATAGGGTCCATAGCCTTATAGCGTCTTTTTCACACGTCTGGTTTGTTACGGCGCAGCAGCCAGACTCCCACAGTCTCACTTTCAACTTGTGCTTAAAGAGCACATTATAAACTACACACCAGTTTTTAAATTGTGTTAATAGGCCAAATAAAACCGGAGTTATGCTAAAATAAGTAAACCGTATTTTTCTGAATGTCAGAGAAATGTCAAAAACTGTCTTTTCCGGTTATGTGACAGGAAATGAGCTTCCAAAGGTAAAAAACGAAACTTAACATTAGATTCCTTTGGTTTTAGAAATCTCAAATCTTCAACAAATAATTATGGGATGTATTTTGCTGCTAAGAAACCAAGTAAAGTTTCTTAACAAAATGAATGCAAAGTTTGGATGCCGGAGCGATCGGTGGCATCCGCTGGGTGATTTGTTTTTAGCCTAGTGGTTTCTGTCTGTATGTAAAGGATTACCTGAAGAATCAACGCGCAGCAGCAGCGGCGCTCTGCTTGGAGCTGGAAGACGGAGAGGGGAAACCCGCAGCCAGAGTCTGGGGGGTGAGGGTTGCCATGACGAAGATGGCCGATCGATCATTCATGTTGATAACTGACAAACAGTATCAGAGACTGAGAACGATGAGAGGCAGCTACTCAGAGATCAAGCAGGGGAACAGCGGCGCTGCGCAGCTGCCAGGACTCGATCACTACGGGGTGAGGCGGAGCCGCTACCCCAGCAGTTAGTAGTAAACAGCTTACAGCCACGGATAACTCTGGGAGACAAGGTAGAAAAATATTTTCACTATAGTCCAAAAGACTTTATTTTACCCTCCTACCCCAATCAGAGCCAGGTATTGTGTAGCTGATGCTTTTAATCAGTTTTCAGTTAATCAAATCCAACTGAAAACTGATGAAATCCAAATCTATGGAACACAAACCGTCACCAAAATCACTCTGTCCCTCTAAAATCTTTCAGAAAATCATAAAAGTGTATCAAAGCGTATCGATTGCAGAATATCGTGATATATATCGCACCATGAGATTATTGTGTCATTACACCCCTAATGAACTGAACCGAGAACTGAACCAATGAACTGAACAGTTCCCGGCTCGGCTCAGTAGTCCTGGTCCAGTTCCGGTTTTGTTCTGGTTCTGATCCAGCTGTGTTTAAACATCTGGACCAGTGGCACGGTAACCAAGGTAGCCTGATCAGAACCTGGGCGGTTCTGTCCAGACAGCGTTAATCAGAGCTGAGTGAACTTTGACCTCACCACTTCCAGCATCTTCAGGCCGAAACGCAGCATGTCCAGATGCTCCGACGCCGGGCCGAGCCAGAACGGCGCCTTCGGGTTAGAAACCGTCGTCGCTGTGTAAACTTCGTTGGCCATGATGGAGCTGGAGACAGAACAGGAAGTCGCATCAGAGTCCAGATCTATGACCACTTCCTGTTGGAGCCAACACTCACCAACACTGACCTCTACACCATTAATTAACAAAGTTCTTTATTTGAAGCAGAAGAGACGCGTAACCTCCTGAAAATTTAAAAGTCAAAATAAATGAGTGAATTAAACGATAAAACAGGAAAAAATCTAAACGATGAGTGGAATGTTTCTCTACACTGAAACCATTTTTCTCATGAAGTATTCTTCAGGGTGTCATGAGTGATTCATTTGCATAAACTTCATAAAGTTGTGAGCGCAGACATCAGGTCGAGCCCCAAGAGTCAGAGCGAAACTTGACCATGACGAGTGTTTTAAGCACAAATTATTCTTCGTTCACACAGAATTAAGTCTCACTGTACAAATATCACAAGTTATTAGCAGCAGGAAGTCCAGTTTTTCTCACTGAAACAGTTTGTCTTAAAATGCCCACGTTACCCCTGGGGCCGGAGGGCGACGCCCACGTTACCCCGGGGGCGGGAGGGCGACGCCCACGTTACCCCGGGGGCCGGAGGGCGACGCTGGACCTGGCCGGTTGGGGCTCCTAGTCGGAGAATCACAGATGATTTTCAGAGGCTCAGGCTTCAGGTTTGCCACATTTTGTCCTGGTGACCAGCTGGGCCAATCAGAGGGCGGGAGGTCCCGCCCTTCACTGTGATTGGTTTAGACCTCATGTGTCTGTTGATGAACAGGGAACATTTTAGACTTCTGTTTGTCCTCTAATGACTGGACGCACTGCTGAAACTTGTTAGGTTCTGGATGTTCCTGGCATGCCCTGAACGCACCACGGGCTGAAGCACGACCCGGTTCTGGTCCAGATCAGGAACAGCAGCTGAACAGTTGGACCAAGTACATTGGGACTAAAGTAAAAATGTTAAAGTTTCTGATCCAGAACCAAAACGTTTGAGGCTCTTATGACCCAAAACCGGTTCTGAGACACAAATTACTCTTTTTTTTTTTGGTTTCAATTCTACCTACAAATAAAACAGAAAATGTCAGAAAAACCAAAATGAAGATCAGATGAGACAGATTTCTAAATAAAAACATCTGTAGGAAGACTGGATTTTCACAATATCAGTATTAATGCATGTTTTGGGTCATATTAGAATAATGATGCATTTAAATGCGACAGGAATGCAGACTCTGAACATCCGCTTCCTGACTGGGCAAACTTTACTGCAATAATTATAACAATATTCAACATTTCAACGCCATTTATTCCTAATATCATGCAGCTCTACATGTTGAACTAAATGAGGCTGCAGGGAAAGGTCTGACCTCCGTTTGGGGATTTATGTGAGCATCAACATTCAGATGAAAACCAGAGTTTAGCTTTAATTTTCCAGATAAAACCAAAAACAAACATTTGAAGGGGATTTCTGTTTTCTCCGCAAGTGAAAGTGAAAAGCAGCAACCATGTGTTCAATTTCAAACTTTCCCATCATCTCGGGTTTAAAACACCAAACGTGATTCAGAAATATAAGAACAAAACCGGTTTTTTTTTTTTTTTTTATCGCACAGGAACGAATCAGAGCAGATCTGAAACATTTAACCTCAACAGAACGTTCTCGGAAAATCGGAAACTTCATCTCCACCAAACTCCAACTGTAAAACTTGACAATTTAAATCAAAACGTTGGTAAACACCAAACTAAACAGTTAAAAAGATGATTTATGAATTGTCTGTAAAGCAAGGAGTCCTGCAGGAAGTTCGGCCCTCATTTTATGCGGCAAAAGTTTTATTTTAATGGATTCAGCAGCTGTCTCTGGTTCCAAAGCCAAGGGAAGGGATCGGAGCGGATGTTGATTTTTTCAGAGAGGAGAACGGGATTAAACTCAATAAATGAAGATAGATTTTCTAAAACACAACTGAGATTATCAGAACTAAGGAAAAAATGTACTTTTAAACCTTTAATTGTATGTCAAACAAGAAACTTTAAGACGTTTGGCATCAACTTCAGCGGCCTAAACGTGATTAACTTTTATCTTTCTGAACAAAAAGATAAGGAAATGAGAATTTAAAAAATACGTGACGTCAAATGTATAAAACTCACGGTTGTGTTGTCTCGGTTCACAGGAGAGATGAACTTTACAGTTAAAATCTAACTCCGTCACCTCTAGGCTTTGTTTGTGAGCCACTTCCGCGTTTCAGAATTTTATAAAGCTGAACGTAACGCAAACTTAACTTCCGGTACCTACCGGAAGTTTTCGACGTCGCTTTATTGTGAAGTCTAGAACGATTAGTTTACCTTTAAGGTACTTTTGGTTTCAAACTCACATAAGTCCGACCCATAAACACAAAAATCAGCACTTTTCATCCACAATAAAGGTTAAAGAGTCGAAAGAAAGTGACTAAGATGTTCAAGGCCGATTTCTGATGAGAAAAGAAGCCCAGAGTTTGGTTTTTAACACAACACCGACATCTAGTGGTGGGAAACAGATGGAAGTTGAATGTTTGAAATAACCACTTTTTTCCCTTTAAAAGCATTAAATCAAAAACTTTCTGACTATTTAACTTTACAACAACAACATTACATAATTTTCTTATTTCTCCCAAATTCAGATGAAATATGTGATGGTTTACATATTTTCACCATGTAATTCAAACATTTATCAGTGTCATAGTTCCAAACTAAATATATAACCTACAACCAAAATACGTAAATTGTAAACTAAATATTTAGTTAGCAAACTATATACTTTGTTCTCAACTAAATGTTTAGCGTCCAAACTAAACATTTAATTTCCAAACTTGGAACTGTGTGCAGTTAGACAGTCACCGAACAACTAATAAAATATTGTTTTCCGAAGATCTTTTATAAATGTTTTTTTTGTAACTGAAGTACAACAGAGGAGAAAACATACATTACTAATTAGAGCTGCACTGAAAGATTATAAAGCTCCACGTTTGATCAACTGAAGAAACAGTAACAGATGTCTAAGTGTCGTTAAAATGCATAAAACTTACAAAAACGGGAGTTTTCCCAGGTCCATGGCGTAGAAAGTCCATTCATAGCCGGAGCCGGTCTTATGCAAAATTCTGTTCCATTTTCACGGCGCTTCTGATCGATTTCTCAGTAAAAACTACTCATATAATCATGTCAGTGTTGTAGCTTTCAGTTTAATCGGCAGCTATAAAAATTAAATAAATAAATAAACTCGGTCCTGTGTGGAAGTATTTTTACGCTGTTTTGTGTTCTTTTAAACGCGAAGAGAATTGATCGTTTTTCAACTTTTCAGCCACCTGAAATAATGTGTTCCCCCTCTATAAAATGGAAACAACTTAATTTACCAGCAAGTCCTTACCTGTGTTGATTCCGCTCTTCATCAACAACAAATCCTGTGATTTTAATAACATTTGTTCTTTATTTCCCAAAGTTAGGAGGGGGAACCAAATATTTTAGCTCTTTCAGCCACCTGAAATAATGTGTTCCCCCTACATAAAATGGACATGTACAGTGAATTATTTTCTTTGTTACCCAAACTTTGAACCATTAAATGAAGCTGTACATTTCAGTTTGCAGAAAAAACTCCTAGCAAAAGTGGTTGTGGATTTTCCTGTTTCCACTGCGGCGTCTACAGCATGAGGTGTACATTGCTGTGAGACTTATTCTTAGTGCACTGAAAAAATGAGAATTGAAGGAATTTTGGATTTGCACAAACAAAATAAGTTAATACTACACAATTCAGTCATCTTTCTTGCATTTACGCGATTGAATAAAGAACCATTTACTTAATTACCAACAATAATGAAACTACTAATTTTTCTTATGTTGATTTAACGTGATTAAATTAGATTACTAAAACCATTGTAATCATGTTTTATCATCACCGGAAATGATGCAATATACCAGAGACAATACTTAAATATGAATGGACAATAATAAGAGCGGTCTTTTGAATCTTAACCAATAAGAAGCCAAACAAGATAATTTTAAAGATATTGCGATTGCCGCTCAGTTTCTTCTGACTATTGCTACAAGAACACAAGACAAATCTTTGGAGGCCCACCGATTAGGTAAGTGATCTAAATATTATTTTTTGTAGTTGGGAATGTTTCCACAAAGATTATCGTTCTGTATGAGAAGTCATTTGTAAATATATTCTTATTTTGAGTGTTAATGAAAACTTTTGTCATGATTACTATAATTTGTATGTTTTGATGAAAAAATATGTACTTAGCAAAAACTTAATACATCAACATGGAATATGAAAACAGCTTTTTATGAAAATTGTTTGTCTATAACTTAATAAGTACAATAATTTCATTTTCTATAGTTATTAACAGTAGATGCGGCTCTTCAAATCTGGACTAGATTATTCTCCTCTTCAAGAAGACTCTTTATAACCATGTTTGTGATTTGTGAAACTTTTATCTGATTAGTGAAACTTCAAAAAGGGCAACTTTGCCCTTTTTTCGGTTTCGATCACACAAGATCTGCTCTAATTCCAAAACTACAACACCTAGACTCTTCAAACCTGGACTGGATTATTCTGCTCTAATAGCAGAATATTTATAACCATGTTTGGAATTTGTGAAACCTTTTTCTGATTTTGGCTAAGTACATTTTTTTTTTATCAAAACATACAAATTATAGTATGTTTTATAGTGGACAAATTATAGTGGGCGGCTGAAAGAGCTAAAATATTTGGTACCCCCCTCCTAACTTTGGCAAACAATGATCAAATGTCACCAAATCCACAGGATTTGTTGTTGAAGATGAGGGGAATCAACACATTAAAAGACTTGCAGGTAAATTAATTTGTTTCCATTTTTTAGAGGGGGAACAGATTATTTCAGGCCGCTGAAATATCCATTCTCTCCTCTCCTCCCCCCATAACTTTGGGAAATAAAAAGCAACTGTTTCCAAATTCTCAAAAATTATAATGTGTGATAGCATGCTAGACATTTCCTTAATCCAGTAATCTGTCATATTTTACATTAGAACGGGATTTACCAAAAAGTTTACACTCTGATCTTTTCAGGAAGTCTTTATTTTGGTGCCCTGCTATCGGCCAGCTTCCCTCCTCTTGTATCAGAAATGAAAAATTATAAATGCACACTACGTGTTGGGAACCTGTGTTTGTTGACTGACTTTTATTTGTCAGGCTTACGAGACAAAAGCTGAAAAAAAAAAAAGATCGATTCTCTTCGCGTTTAAAATAACACAAAACAGCGTAAAAATACCTCCACAGAAGACCCCGTTTATTTATTTATTTATTTTATTTTGATAGCTGCCGATAAAACTGAAAGCTACAACACTGACATGATTATATGAGTAGTTTTTACCGAGAAATCGATCAGAAGCGCCGTGAAAATGGTCAGATCCGCCGGATCCACTTCTCTGGCTGCAATGCGCGCTCCCGACACAGGGGGCAGATTTTCACAGGGGACAGAATTTCCCACAAGACCGGTGTTCTGACAACACCTGTTGCTTTCTCCTAACTTCCTCCATTCCTGTTGACACGCTACCGGAGAAAAATACAGCTAAGATAGTTTGCTGCTAAGAGCGCTCACTCGGTCGTATGTCTACAATGCAACATGAAAACGGTCGTTTGTAACATATATGACGCATTCTGATCAAATTTCAAACCCAAAATTTGCTTAGCATGAATTTAGTCACACAATTTGCCAACTATGTACTTATTTACCAACTTATTAATGTAACTTATTTCCCCTATGGACGAATTTACTGCATTTGACGAAAGGGAATCACATTTATGTCTGTTAAATCTGGAAACATATGTCTTGGTCAATACAACTGGGGGGGTAATTAAGAAGTCAAAGTTTGATTTCAGGTGAGAAAATGAGGCTGCGGTTCTGTTTTCAACTCAACACCGACATCTAGTGGCGGAAAAAGCTGAATGTTTTTAAATCGTTCGACTCCATAGCTCGGGTCCGTGTATTTGAAGACAAAAGTTCATCTGAGGAGGAAAATACAAATGAGCAGACTATAAAAACCCTCTGACATCAGTTTGTCCCGGTTTATTTTGCACTTCTTAGTCACTTTTTAGAATAAAGGTCATTACTATTTCATTTGAAACATCTCCTGCACTACATCCACTTTAGTATTTATTATTTTCCTATTTCTGATTTGATTTTTGTGCAATAAATAAACAAACTCACCTCACTTCCTGCAGGGCAGCAGCTCTGAACACACTGGAATGGCCTAGTGAAAGTCCAGCTGGAAATCCATGTCAGGAAACTTGATGTTCAGAGATTCTCTGCCTTCCATACTTCTCCTACTGCAGAAGCATGCCACACTTTTCAGATCAGGTCTGGCTTGTGTTGCCCAGTTCAGCCAGTATGAATACTTCTGGACCTCGGGATGCTTCAGCTCGGGATGTTTCATGAATAAAAGCTGATTTTATTTCCAACTCGGCCTGCAGGGGGCGCCGCGGCCCGCTCCTCTCCGGGTTTCCCCGGGTATAAATGCGGGAGGAGCGGCTGCGGAGCGGAGAGGCTCTCCAGCAGCCAGAGGAGGAGGAAGAGGAGGATGAGGGTGAAGAAGCGGAGCTGATCTCAGTTCGGAGCCGCTGAGCTGAAACTGGAAACTTCCGGATGTTTTTCTGAAGCTTTTCCTCATCCGAGCAGGTAAAAGAGAGGAAGACTCTGATGCTGCTGAGGAAGAGTGTGATGGTGCTGTGGTTCGGGTCAGAAATCCTGAGGTGATCCGGGTTCTGTCTGCTCTCTGCCGGTCACAGGTTCTGTTTCTGGTTAGTTTCCTCCTGATGCAGGTTGGTTCTTATGGAGAATCAGCTGGTTTGTGTCCTGTTGGATCTGATGATCCTCTAGCTGGTGATCCTCAGCTGAGGATGATGATGATGATGATGATGATGATGATGATGAAACAACCCAAACTCTTCACATAAAGCGAAATCACAGCTAGCAGTCTGTAGACAGACATGAAGGAAAATGTCCAAAGGTCAGAAAAAAACCAAGAACTGGACCGAGTCACAGATTAGAAACCTTAAAGTGAGAAACATTTATAACATTTATAAACTAATTAATTTTGGTTTCCTCACGTGTTGATCTGTTGGCTGTTGGCAAAATCTGCTGATTTTAGTTCAACAGAAAAAAGTTCAATCAGTTTAATGATGAGAGTTCCTCTGGTGGTTGGATGAATGGTTGGATGAATGGTTGGATGAACAGTCAGTTGGTTGGATGAGCAGTTGGATGAATAGTCGATTGGTTGGATGAATGGTTGGATGAATAGTCGATTGGTTGGATGAGCAGTTGGATGAACGGTTGGATGAATGGTTGGATGAACAGTCAGTTGGTTGGATGAGCAGTTGGATGAATAGTCGATTGGTTGGATGAACGGTTGGATGAACAGTTGGATGAACAGTCGGTTGGTTGGATGAACGGTTGGATGAATGGTTGGATGAACGGTTGGATGAACAGTCGGTTGGTTGGATGAACAGTTGGATGAACAGTCGGTTGGTTGGATGAACGGTTGGATGAATGGTTGGATGAACAGTCGGTTGGTTGGATGAGCAGTTGGATGAACAGTCAGTTGGTTGGATGAGCAGTTGGATGAATGGTTGGATGAACGGTTGGATGAACAGTCAGTTGGTTGGATGAGCAGTTGGATGAATAGTCGATTGGTTGGATGAATGGTTGGATGAACAGTCAGTTGGTTGGATGAGCAGTTGGATGAATAGTCGATTGGTTGGATGAATGGTTGGATGAACGGTTGGATGAACAGTCGGTTGGTTGGATGAACGGTTGGATGAACAGTCGGTTGGTTGGATGAACGGTTGGATGAACAGTCGGTTGGTTGGATGAACGGTTGGATGAACAGTCGGTTGGTTGGATGAACGGTTGGATCATGATAACAGCTGCAGATATTTTGGTTCTCTTGGCTCTGGACGGGTCTGTTTCCATAGCAACAGCTGCTGAGGATGATGGGAGCTGTAGTCCATGGTGTGTGTGGAGCTTTTTAGAGTTTTTTGAGTCCCTATGTTCTGTTTCATGTTGTATTTTTACAATGCAACATTTCATTGGATTTAATTTATTCATAAATGTCACTTCCTGTCAGAAACAACTTCCTGTCCGACTGAAGCTTTAAACCTGTCAGGCGTATGAATAATTCTGATCAGAATTAAACAGGCGGCAGCGTCACGTTTATTTGGTGCCATTTGTAAAGTTGCAGTCCAAAATTTGCCGCAATAATAAATATTTAACTGGCTAATTAAATAATTAGCTCCAAGCTAATACTTCATTAGATATTTAGCTCCAGCTATTTGGTTGGAGCTAAATATATGCAGTTAGCTAAGAACTAGCTCTAGATAAATATTTTCTTTACAAAGTGAATATTTACCTAGCTCAGAGTTAAATATTTATCTAGTATGCAAATTCACTTGTTGATGAGTGGAAGTGGACTACCAAAATAAAAGCTGACTCTGATAGCCAGTACACAAACTTCTGCTGGTGAGGCTGACTCCTCCAGTCTTCAGGTTTTATTTTGGTAGTCCACTTCCAGTTATAGGCAAGTGCATTTGTATCTTGGAGTATTTTGCTCTTAGCTAAATATTTAGGTTGCTAACAAAATTTTTAGCTGGGAGCTACTTGGCTAACTCCATATGTAGCTTGGTAACTATTTATCTTCAAATTATTTATGTAGCTCAAATTGGATATTTAGAAATATATAGCTAAACATTTGTTAGCAAGCTGCTTGCTAATGAAATATTTAATTTCGAACTAAATGTAAAGTAAAGCTAAACTTTTACTTTTAAGCTTAATATTTAGCTTGAACCTGTGGCATTTATCAGTGAAAGAAAAATGTGGTGAAAATATGACTTTTAAAAATCAACCTCCATTTTTTTTCCTCCTGTACCAGACTAAATAATCCAGATTATTGCTGTTTGTTTCTGACAGTGTAGCTTTATTAAAGTCCCGTTGCAGCGGTTCTGACTGAAACTGGATCCTGGACAGCTGAACACGCCTGCTCTGGTTCTGAGACGTATCTGCTCTTCATCCTGTTATCTGAGCCGGCGGCCTGGCGGAGGAAGAGGAGGAAACCGGACATTTCCTGCAGGCGGCTCAGTTAATCAGATGATGGAGGGCAGAGCGAGCTAACTGTCTGGTTCTGATCCAGACGGATTCAGCTCTGGTTCTGCTGATTCGGAACATTTTCACAGTGAAACATTTATGGAACATTTATAAAATTATAAGTTTAACTCTTTTTAGACTTCTGTCACTTTGTAAATAAAAAATGTTCAAATAATCTTGGATTTTATGTTTTAGAGTTTTTTTGTTTTTTTTTTAGTAAAAGCATAAATATAGAATTTTCCAAAATCATATGAACTGGTCGTAAAAGAACAATTTCAGAAGCCTGGATGCTAAAATATGACATTTTATTTTGGAAAAACGATTTAATTCTTTTCTTAAGTTTCCATTAATTTATTTGAAAATGAACTAAAATGCTGCGTTCAGCTCCAACATGTTCACGTCATTAAACATCTGGAGGAGAATGATTCATTGTTGATGAGTGATGGACTAATCGATTACTGACCTGATCATTGGCTGCAGCCCTGTCCTGTGTTTTCCTGTGAAGGTCGGAGGTCAGTGGCGACCAACAGGTGATGTGAAGGTCGGAGGTCAGCTCGTTCTGCTTTTCAGCCTGCTCCGTTTTCCAGATGATTTGGCCTCATTTCTGAAACTGGAGGTTCTGACCCACTTCCTGCCTGCCCCTGCAGACTTCCTGTCCCGCCTCCGCCATGAGCGACACCTTGGAGTCGGCGGCCGGCTCTCTGGGTCTGCTCAGCAGCTCCTGCCTCACCAAGGTGGAGCTGCGCCTCACCTGTAAGGGCGTCTCGGACCGGGACGCGCTGTCCAGGCCCGACCCCTGCGTCGTCCTCAACATGCAGTCCCATGGCCGGTGGATGGAGGTGGGTCACCATGGCAACCAGCGCCACGTGGCGTTGATGGGCCGAGGTCGTCCTCCTGACGCGCCGCCATCTTTGTTTCTGTGTTGATTTGTTATGGGAAAATTTTGAGTTCAGGAGAAAATTCACCAGAAGAAAAAAATTTACTTAATTTATTTCTGTTCTAATCACTGAAACCCGAACAGATGAAACTCTGACATCACATCCTGCAGAAGCAGAACATCAGAACATCAGAACCAAAACACTCTGTTCTGGTTCTGCTAGCTGCTTAATTAGCGCCGCAGCCTCAGTGCGATCTGGGTGCTGCTGGTCCAGCTCCAGAACCATCAGGACCTGACCCGGTTCTGATGGCTGTCACAGGTTTACTTCGCTGTTCGTCCACAGGTGGACCGGACGGAGGTGATCCGCAGCTGCGTCAACCCCACCTACTCCAAGGTCTTCACCTTGGACTTTTATTTTGAAGAGGTGCAGCGGCTGCGCTTCGAGCTGTTCGACATCAACAACCACAACGGGCCGAAGGAGGCCGACTTCCTGGGCTCATTGGAGTGTACGCTGGGACAGGTGAGTCCAGCTGGGACAGGTGAGACAAATTATTAGTTATTTTTTGCCTGTAACTTTGCCAACAGCGCCCCCTGTCATCCAGCAGCGGTTCATCATTGATCTGCCATTAAATAAAAACTCAACCAGATGTTAAAGACACATCTTTGATTTGGAAAATATTCGACTCTTGAAGTTTCATTTTCCACCAGGATGATTTCATTTCCTGCAGAGACCAGAGAAAACAGGAGCGGGAAGCCTGGAGACGTGTGTGTGTATGTGTGTGTGTGTGCGCGCATGTGTGTGTGAAGATCGTTTTCTCTTCAATAGCATTTACAACCAGGGAAAAAAAATCTAGTGAGTGAAAAATTGAGTACTACTAAAGAAACATGTCGTTTCCATGGTGACAGTCGGCCGGTCCAGAACCAGAACCAGACAGGGTTTTGGTGTTGATGTTTCTAAGGGTTAAAGTGTTGGCAGCAACCATAGCAACCACAGCAATGCTTTCTGAAAGGGCCACAGACTCCAGAAGGCGTCGAGGAAGTGGAGTGGGCGGAGCCAAGAGGGGCGTGGCCAGGCGTGGAGTAATGAGGCGGTTCTGTGGACGGCAGTAGAACTGTTAGCAGGATGGAGTTAGATTTGTTTCACAATTATTCAATCAAAAAAAAAATTCAAACAAAAAAAATCTTAAAAACTTTTTAATCATAAAAATATTTTTTATGAAACAAAAAAATATTTAAAGGTTTTTTTAAATTTAAGTCACTAATTTTTGTTTGAAACTTAAATTTTTTT